ATATTTTCAACAAAATGTAACACCTCAATTTCTTGCACATATTGTACTTTTGGCTTGGTGATTTAGTTTGATATTACTGCTTTTAGAGTAAGAGTAGATACTGTGTTTATTTTTACTCACATCTCAGGTTAAGAGACTATGTCTGACTCATAAAACAATGTTCTAATAAAATATGCTATCTGACACTACAATTTATTTTCTCACTACAAACCAATTAGACTATAATTAAGCAAACTTGTTTCTCCATGTATTTGTATGTTTACACAAAAGGTTTGATTATCTAGAAGAACAATCTAAAAAATCAAGGTTTTGAAAATATTGCCTAGTTGAGACTCATCCAGAAACAGCTGGATGAAATAATGGGATCAGCCAAACAAGCAAGATGCGCAGAATGGGCACCGTCATTTGCAAAAGCTTTTTATTTCTACGTGTAATCATTCACATATACAGTTCATGATACCTGCTCACAAAGTGCTTCAAAATTTCTCAAATCAGAGTCGGCATTCTGGAAAAAAGCATGAAAAAGTTATATCTCCTTTATGGACACGAGATGGCGTTGTTTTGCTGCTATAAGATGAGATCACTTTATTGCCCATATACAATTTTTTGTATTAGGAATTAGTATTTTTGTATACCTCAACTTGCTCTCCATGAGACACACAGACAGGGAGAGAAGCTTGGGGATAAGCTAATAGCTATACTATTACACAAGTTGACAGCAATTAATACAACAGTATTAAGACAGAGACAAACTTTTCACATAGATCTCTGACTTGAAAAGTTCCTAAAAAGTGATAACAGTGATGGAAAATAATTTATTTAATAATGTTAATTATTATTCCAATCTTATTTTGGTTTTATTTAAGTTAATTATGTGTGATTTTAATGTTTATTTTTCTTAGACATGTTAAATCGGTCTTTTTACCTGCTTCTCTCTTAATAAGCCAGTTCTGTAATGGAATTATTCTTAAAATTTCAGAATTCCTTTAAAGTAACTCAAAATGTGAATGTGTGAATTTCAGATTCAAACTAAGAATGGAGGTCAAGCTAGCACATATTACATAACAGTCGGGAAGACATCAGACATGTCGAGATCTGTCCCAGTCCCAGGAGTCTTACTGTCATCCCCATTTTTATATGCCTGTATTCAGTTGTGAAAATTGTAGTGCAGAACAGAGAATAATGATACTATAAAAAAAGAAAGATGAACAAAAAATAAGGTATGTTATGCTGGTGAGGCCAAAAAAAGGAGAAACATCTGTCTGTAACTTATAATGCTGATGGTTATAACTCTGGTTTGCTCCTTGTGCTCCCAAATCACTGGCTATGGGAATATAGACAAATGGAAGAAGTTGAGTTCGATAGGTCAAATAGCCATCTATTTTCTGTGGCTTTTTCTGATGCACTGAAAACATCCTGTGAGCAGATGGATGTGCTCAAGTAAAAACATTAATCATTGTTGAGAACTAAGAGATTTATGTGGTCCCAGATGGAAAACAGAAATAACACAGGCTTCCCGATTCTGGTAGGTGACTGGCAAGGTGCCTCTGGATATACAGTATAGCTTTTGGAGAACTGGCAGGTTGTTGGAATCTTATGTTCACAAAACACAGCACTGTCCATTTGAGGAAGCCAGGACTCTTGAATCCTTCCAAGAAGTAATGTGAATGTGCTGTTGCTGCTAATGAAGTTAAGTCATAAATTGAAGCCACCATCCACTTAGTTAATGTGCTGATACCATTCATATGCACTTGGCAGGACCTGAAAATAAATGAAAATCTTACTTGCACAGAGCAGATATCTAATAATGTTCATATTTGCATTATGAACACAAGTAGAAATTACTGTAAGCGTAGGAGCATCCAGGACAGAAAACAAGGCTCATGTCTTCTTCTGTTGAGGATGACTCTGCAAGATCCTTACATTCAGAGCGGTTCATGGTGGAGCAACACAACTTTGACTTCCAAAAATTCCCATCGCTGAGCATATACTGTATAAGACCCATTGTAGATATTAGCTGCTGAAACGTGTCCCCATTTCCTTGTGTACTCTCTACCCAAAGAGTACTGAAAACATCTCTTCACACATGTTTTGGGAGTGTCCAGAAGTAAAATTTCAGAGACAGGTTTCTTATATAAAGCATGGAAAAAAGGTTACAAACAAGAGAAGGAGAAGGCCATTCTGCCTATCTACAGTGGTGAGAAAACATTTGTGAACCCCTTAGAATCATCTGTTTTCCTGCATTAATTGCTCCTAACGTGTAATCTGATTTAACAAATAACACAAACAATTGTACTTTTTCTTGTCTATATTGAACACATTGTTTAAACATTAACTGTCTATGCTGGAAAAAGTATGTGAAGCCCTTGGATAATGACCTCTGTTAAAGTAGGTAATTGGAGTCTGGAGTTCCACTCAATGAGATAACATTCATGTATGAGTTTCAGATGCCCTGTCCTGTTAAAAAAAACACAAAAACAAAAACCACACAATTTGGTTACCAACAGAGTCTGAACTTCACAACACAGTTTCTTCGAAGTGAAACATGCCCTGATCAAAAGAGGTTTCAGAGGACCTCAGAAGGCTCAAAAGAGTTACAAAAGCAATTTTAAAGACTTAGGGCTCCTTCAATCCACATTCAGGCAGATAGTGTACAAATGGAAGAAATTCAGTACCATTGCTGCTCTCACCAGGACCTGTCATCAAACACAAATCACTGCAAAAATGAGCACTGGCTTGCACTGGCTAATGTCTGTGTTTATGAGTCCACAATAAGAAAAACTCTGAACAAGAGTGGTGTGCTTGGGAATGTACCATAGAGGAAATCCCAGCTTTCAAAAACAAAAACCATTGTTGCTTGTCTCAAGTTTGCCAAAGATCATGTGGATGTTCTACTGTGCTGCTGGAGCAATGTTCTGTGGACAGATGAGACAAAAATGAAACACACTGGCATAAATATGTAACATTATGTTTGGAGGTAAGAAAAACTCTGCATACCAACACAAAAACCTCATCCCAACCATGAAGCATGATGGAGGGAGCATCATGGTTTGGGACTACTTTGCCAAGATGTCTTGTAATTGAATGGCCAAGTCAGAGTCCTGACCTTCACACAATTGAAATGCTGTTGCATGACCTGAAGCAAGACATCAAAAAAATGTAAATTAATAGAAACTATTCTGTAAAGAGCATACACCCAAACCAATGTTTAGGACTGATCAGCAGCTAGAGGAAACATTTGGTTGAGGTAATTGCTGCTAAAGGAGGTTCCACCAGTTACTAAATCTAAAGGTTCACATACTTTTTCCAGCATATACAGTGAATGTTTGATCAATGTGTCCAATATAGACATGAAAAAGCACAATTGTTTGTGTTATTTGTTTAATCAGATTGTGTTTATCGATTAGTATGACAGTGATGAAGCTCATATCACATTTTAGGAGCAATTACTACAGGAAAACATAATCCCAAAGGGTTCAAAAACATTTTATCCAAATTGTATTTCATTTGGTAGTTAACATTTAATTGATCCATGGATGAGATCCTCTTTAAAGAAGATGGTATGGGCTTTGACAGTTTTGTTGGATAGTGTGACTCCTACCATTTTAAGAATTGAGCACTTTTTTGTACTTTGCTTTCTTATCCAATAACAATTGTGCAATCAAATTACTGTTCATGCATTACTTTGAATGCCTGCTATTGAAGAATTAACCTTTTATGAGGAACCTTTTCAAAAGTGTTGTGAAAATCTGAATATACAGTATTTGCCAGGTTTGTGTTCATTACTGATATTATTAGTTCATAGAATTCTAACACATTAGTTAATAAAGGCTTATCCTTTCTAAAGCCACAGTGATTATCTTCCAGACTCTTACTGATATAGCTATAGTTACAGTAAAGAACAAACCATAAGACTTATTGGTCCATAATCACTTATGTTGTCTTTTATTTAATGTTTTACTGTTTTACTGCTCTAATAATATTTAAAAAAAGACATTTGCTATTTATTTTTGCCTCTACTTTGAAATTTATTTAAATCCCCATTGCAATGTAGCTGTTTCTGTTTCCATTATTTTAGACAAGAATATTTATTGCTTGGTAAATGATGATTCCAATCATGGTCTCTCACAAGTTTAGAAATTGGCTGATTGGCTGGTCTTTCCCCTTGGACTGTTAAAAATACTGACAACCAACCAATCAAGCATAATGAGAGGAAACTCTGTCATTTGTAAACCTTTCTTAGTTTTTTAAATTGACTTTTTTAAAAACTGTAGACAAACTCAGTCATTTCCTTTTGCATATCTAGAATTATATATATTTTAAAATACTCTCTTTGAAAAAAAACACAATATGGTTAACATAAATTTGAGCATCACTAACCAAATAGACAAAAGGACCACTAGGGATAAATAAAATAATACACAGTGAAATAAATGATATCCCAAGAAAAGAGCAGAGCACTTCTAACCAATTTAATTTAGTATTAGGGATTAGAATTTAATCAAATTAATACGCATGATTATTCTAAAAGTCTCTCCACTGACGCAATCTGATTTGTTGTGTTGAGTGACATATTAATTATTGTTATCTGGTTTTCTACAGAACAACAGCTATCCAGAAAGACACTTTATGTAACTGTGTTGTGCAGGAGAGGGGAAAATAATTGCTGTAGGGAATAAAAATGGAACTTGTAAATTGTTGTTTGAGGTCAGTCAAACTGCAGCTGCAATGACAGGTAAGCAGGAAAATGAAACTTTGAATTCCCTTCTAAATGTACACTGAGTCTGCTGAAATATATAGGATCATATTTACTGTAGCTGATAGAGATCTCTCATGTGGAGTTCTTCCATGAATTCTTATTAAAATGACTCTACAGTGTAATGTATACAATATAATACCATTATGGACCAATTCTTATTAACACTCTGTTGAAAAAATCTCTAACACACACTTAAAATTATGATGTGCTATTGTTGTGAACAGAGGATAAGACACAAGGAAAGTCACAAAGAGCAGCTGGCCCGTCTTGCTCATGGGGTTGCTTATAGGTTATTAATTGTCACGAAGCGTAGAACAGGACCCTGTGCAGCTGGCAGAATCTGGAAGGGAGTGAAACAGACACAGGGAGAAGACGACGGGGAACTGGGAAGGTTGATGAACAGAGGGGCGTGACGAATGTGCACTGGTGCTCGGGGGTGGTCCAGGCGTACAAGTCCAAAGGAGTTTGAAGGGTAAATCCAGGGAGAAGTCCAAGTGTCCAAAGCAAGGTGATCCATCCAGGACAGACAAGACAAGGTTTAAAAAACCGGAACGGGATCTGGTGCAGTGACGAGGAATAAAAAGTGTTAACGGAGCCAGGTGCTCCCAGCCCCGGACCTAGATGGTCAGGACGCCGTGGTGAAGCATATGCCGTCGGGCCACTCCAGTACCCGCTGGTAGGCGGGCTTCCAGACGTCCATCTTCCAAAGCTGAGCCCAGAACGGAAGAAGAGTCTGGCTTAAATAGGGAGGGGCTGAATAGGAGGCAGGTGCACAAAATCAACTAAAATGGGAAAAAGCCGGAGCGCCCTTAAGAGGAGGGATTTACGATCGTGACATTAATCATGAGTTCATCCAGCTATTTGGTTTCTTGTCTTGAGCCCTTGTTTCTGTTGGTTCTGAAGTAGTCTTTTGGGTTGACTTTCTCAGTACCTTTCAAGATTGTAAATATCTACTGTATCTTTGTTTATTATGACAACCTTTAATTGATAGAAAGTTAATTTTGCCTCATAGGTGCCTCATCTGGAAAACTGACTCCTCCTCTTACTAATGTGACACTCTGAAGGAAGGTCTCCAAACATGCTGGTTCCATGTACAACAGGTTGAAAGAGCTACAGTACATGCTAATTATGGAAAAAAGAAAACATTAAATTGACATTGCCCTTCTTTTCTTTAGTCTTCAAAAATTCCTTTTATAATTGTAAAGACATAAATGTAAATTTCATTCTGAAAAGAAGAAAGAAGATACGTACCATTTCAGCTGCTGAATCTTCTTCAGGTGTGAGCCATACGATGGGTTTTGTATGTCTCCTGCTTTCTAAAAGCCACTAAAATATAGTATGAGAATATACAGGTAAGTATGAGAGTATGCAGACAAATGTTTCTGATTATATTGCAGACATTAATTTGAACATCTTTGACACTACCTTTTAGGCTACAGGCATTTTATGATGGACTTTATACCTGATTCTTATTTGTTTCTTTGAATTTACTGATTAAGCTGTGTCTTCAAAGAACTTTATGTTATGCTTGACTTATCTTTAATGGGGTTTCACCTAAGAGAAAGAATTCAAATATTTGTAAGGCACTGAGCTTAAGATATAAATCCTTCATTTTACATCAATGACAACACAGTATTTTTAAATTTAAATCCATTTCTTTGGCCAGTACTTTTTTGTCCAAAAACCTGTATAAGAATTATGGTGAGCAGATGAGCAAATTGCCATACATTATGAATTCCTCTGATGGCAATTGCAATTGATAACATATAGTGATTTACATAAGCTATAACAATTGTTTGTTATACACCAGAAGCACTAAAATAAATGAAACATAAAAAATATGATACAATATAAGAGGATGAATTAAGAAATTAAAATAAAAAGTACTATGGGTTGTATTCCTTTCAGGGAAGTACATGCTATTTTGTTTGAGAAACAAATAACAGTATAAAATATTTGGCTAGACATGTCAAATGATGTGTCCTAGACTAGAATTTTTGTTATTGTTGTTCATACTGTTGTTATTATTTGATTGATATCAATTCAGCATTTAATTTCTTCTCAAGTATGTACAGCTCAGTGAGAGTTATGCAGGCCTCTTTCCAAAACAAGAGTGAGTTACTTCTGGAACATGTTCCATAGCCATAGACATAGCAATGTTACAAACGTCAGTATGGTGATTTAAGGGCAATTGCCATTTTGAGGTAAGGCAGATCCTGAGATCCTATAGTAAACATTTTAAATCATTTTATTCATCTTTCACAGTTACATGTTTCATTTAGACTCAAATGGGCAGTTGGAACTCAGTGCATTGCCTTTCTGTGAGCTTCAGTCAGACACAAACTGCTTTTTTAAACTTTGCAAAGGGGTAAATGGAAAAAAGAGGGTAACCAATGACTAGGCCTGGCAACAAGACTGTTGTCACACAGAAGAAATCTCTGGAGAAAAGAGAGAGATGCACCTGTTATGATTGAGCCTGTCTTCAAGATGCGAGATTTATTTAGAACACACTAGGGGCATCCTATTCTGATTCCTGCAGTGTGCTACTTTGCTACAAAGCAACAAATTTAATTGTCTGCTTCCTTGATTAACGGTATCCACCGACAACACACTAATCACTTTAAGTGCATGCAAAAGACGATCAAGTAAATCTTCATATGAATCTCACATGATATCCATCCATTTTATAACTTGTTCATTCAATTCAGAGTCACGAATGAACCGGAGTCTATCCCAGCAAGCAATGGGCACAAGGCAGGATAGACCCTGGACACAACGCCAGTCCATTGCAAGGCACAGACAGATAAACTCACACCAGGGCCAATTTTCCCAAAGCCTTTGGGAGTAAACTGGAACACCCAGAGAAAACCCACTGGGAGAACAGACAAACTCCATCCTGAATGGAATCCAGGGGCCCCAGCGCTAATGATCACCACTGCACCACAGTGCCACCCATCTCAAAAGATATTCATTTCCAAAAGAATAATACAAATCGTTTTATGGAACCATCACGTGGAATATGGTTATAAGAGTTAAAATTTTAACTCAAATAAATTACTGAGAGATTACATTGCTCAATGTGTTTATTTCGTTCAAATTCAGGATTTTTCAGAATTTATTACAATAAACCAACATCTTGTTTCATTAAAATAAAAAATACAAACGTTCCGGTAATACGTATCTTTATTTGTAATTACAATGGGTTTGCGCAGTTAAACGAAATAACTTTCCTATTAAAACATTAAAAACATCTACAAAAAGTCCTAAGGCAATCGTATATAATGAATCGTTTTTTAAATATATTTAAAAATCCATGAAAAAAATGCTTACGACTCTTTCGCTTCATCTTAAGTTTAAGGAGTGAGACGTCACATAACAAGTGCTCTCTTCTTACAGCAGTCCTTGCATGCTGAAGAGAAATGTTGAATGAACTGCAAACGCGCAGATCATATTATTTTTAGAATGTCTTCTTTAGCTTCATTTAGAAAAAAATCCCAGAGGTCTTGAATTTCACAGGATTGAAACGTGTTTGTTGCCTAGCAGCGGGGAATGGCCCGAGCGCAACGTGATTCGCTTGTATTAATGAGGTTTAAATACTGTATACCGACTGCACACCTGAACAGGCACAGTTGAAGACACATTCACAGGATTCAGAAAGTTAGACGTAACCCGTTCCTTTTCTGTCCTGCCTTCCGAATCGTATTCGACTATTCTAAAAAAATGGTTATCCATTGTAGTTGGACTTTAACGATGGATGATGGTCACTAATTTAAAGATTCATCTATAGACGTGTTTAAACTTAAAACAACGAACATCTGGCAAAATGTCGACTTTAAAACAGAATTTCCTTTCAAAATAAAAACGATGCCAGCCGTCAAGGTTTAGGTAAGTTTTAACCCCCAGTTTATTTTATTGTCACGTCGTATTTCATATTTAGCCAAATTAAAAATTCTATGCAATGACCAATTCTAAATTGTCAATTACTTAATTTTGTATAATTATTTAATTAAAAAGAACGAAAATATTATTTGATGTTGATTTATTTCAGTGCACAAATTATTGGAAGTTTTAGAGTTGCAAACTGTCCTAGATGAGGAATGTGTACGACAGATAAAAGCGATCAGAGTTTTCTTTACATATCCTGGAACGTATTACAAAGGGAAACATTCGATAACTTCAGAGCTAGCGTTTTCCTGTCCATATTTTGCCAGTGAACTGTTGTTCAACATGTATTCTGGAAATAGTTTATGGATGTATTTAACTATACAGAAATACACTTACAAAAAAATTGTCACGGGCTTAATCCTTAGAGGGCGAAAATGCCTTGATACAATGTACGACCCTAAAAACTATCGCTTTATTTTTCCTCTGCAGGCTAATTTCTACAGTACCGAATATGTATAGTACTTATAGTATTTGTATAAACTTTCTCAAGTTGTATTCAGTGGTGCATGCTGGTAATTATATGCCTTAGCCCAAAACAGCTCATTCTTAGCAAAAATTTAATGTTGTTTGCCACATTCAAAATCAAATCTTCGACTGTCAGTTATCATTATGTGCCTTACGAAATTAAACATAATAATTAATATTACAGACGTGCACGTAAGGAATGTGACCCCTACAAGTTGTACACTCCATATTAACGTTTTGTAATCGCGAAACGTTGAAAAACTCTTACTGTCTACAGGCAAAATGACAACATCAAAGATTACACAGGGCTTTAAGCGTAAACTCACACTGCATATTGTAGTTTGGGTAAGACTTAAGATCCTGTATTCAGTAATATCCGCTAGTTCTCAGATTGTCAGTTCGCATTACGTTAGATACCATTTCTAAAAAAAACTCCAAACTGGGTTGCTCTGTTATCTGATTATTAGAACATCGCGGAATGTGTTAAAATGTTTGTATTACTTTACATAGATTCTCATTCAAACACACAAATCAATTATGTAACAGAGTTGAATTAACTAATGACGGTTTTTAATTTTAGAATAATTTAAACTGGGATTGTATTTGTAATAATTTCAAATAAATCGAGAGATACAAGACTTTAGTCCTCTAGGACTGTAAACTACATTTATTGATATCATTTAGCTACATCAATGCACTTATATAAATATGTTTTATATACACCTAAAATGAAACAGTAATTCTTCAATTATGTCGCCAAACGTCTCTGGATCGTCGGGTTTCAAACGGAGGAGATTGCGATTGTCGCGAGTTGTGTCGGGATAAATGAAACTCAAAAACTTTACAGTACAAAAACTTTTAACATTGCTCTAAAAAGAAAAAAAATCTTATCCCTCCCTCAGCATGAGAAAATAACGTTGAATTTTTCATAATTTCTAAAATCTGCTACAGAGCGGTTTTGAGTTACAAGCCTCACACCCTAGTAAAGAAAAGTGCAGTTGTGCCATTCCAGGTCAGGTTGCCATTGATATAAACTTTACAAGCTTAAGAGATGTTTTATGAAAGTGAACATTTTTTTCATTCAAGGATCATGTGCCACAATACATGTACAGCATAGTCACGTGTTTATTCTAACTGGGTTGCTGCAGTCCAAGCACAGTATACTGTAAGTGGGTAGCTATGTCAGTCTGCCTAGGCTGCAAAGGTAAAGCAGGTTTATGCCACGCAGAGAGGAAAAGAAAAGCTGCGGAGCCTTCTACAGGTGTCAGGGAGAGAGGGGAACCAACAGTTGATGAAGCATGGGAAAACAAAAGACAGGTAGTTATAGTTAACCTAGTAGACTGCAGAAAAAATCAACTGCATGTGGACAAGGGGTAGGTATGTTTGTATCTGGGTCTGTAGGATGGCTTTTTGACAGTACTATACCCAGGAGGACGATTTTACTAGTTGGGTTAAGGTCAGGCTGGGGGTGTTTACAAAATAGTCAAATAGTAGCAATTACAGATGTAGAGGAGGATATCAGGGCCAGTGTCAGCAAACAAGACAGTAACTGCATCACACCATAAGGCATCTCTAAACACATGGAGATACAGGTCTGTCACACATACTGTATGTATCTTTACACAAGATGTGTTTGCTGGTTATTTTTACCACTATGTATCCTAACTAAAATCCATCCAAACACTAACCATGTACCTATCTTTCTTCCATAGTTGGGTAAGCTTGAGTCCTGGAACTTGGCAATCACTGTCCTTTCTATCCAAGACTTTCTATCTGTTTTATAGGAAATAATTCAGTCAAGTAAGTTAAATGAACATATACCTGCCAATAGGTCATTTCAGCGTGCTAAGATACTTAAAAAAAAATTATCCATAAAATCTTTAGGATTTTCTGAAACTAATGTAGATGTGTGAAAAAAGAACCACTTATTCTCCACAAAACATACTGTATTTGTGGAATTTTAATTGTTTTCTGTTTGAAGATTAACAAGGAAATCTGGGACTGAAACAAAAATCTTTTTAAGTTCTTGTGTATATTGAGTACTGGAGATTCAGACAACTCACAAAGTTCATTTGTCACATCTATTTCATTATGCGATCCAAAGATAATTAGGGTGTGCAAAAACAATTGTTGTTTAAAAACAAGATTTTTTAAAATAAAACTACCTTTTAAATCAGTAAAGATATCTGATTTAACAACTGAAATGAGTAAGGTTAAATATATCTGATCTCAGACAGTTCTCAGCAGCTGTTCAAGAGTACCACATAGTCATAAAATTGATTATTATTAAAACAGTGATAATTGCAGTTTATTGGCGTGAAGTTAAGTGTAACCTAGAAAAGCACTGAAAGTTACCACAATTGAATCACATCAGAATTTGTTGTCAGTATTTGTCCATTCTTGATGTGAGATTAAATAGTTGATCATATTCTTCTATTCTTCCAGAAACAGTGTCAGGAAGCAAAGTCATCCACTCTTGCTGAAGATAAGTTAAGTGGCGTCTGATCTATATAGATTAAGAAAAAATGTCTTTGTTTTGAATAAATATAGGTGGGAGAGGGCTAGATTTTGAATTACTGTATGTATTGTATACCAAAAGATCTGTCAGTGTCATTGTAGTCTGCATTGCTTAAGGCTACTGTGAAAAATACATTTGAAGATTCCTTGTAGACCAAAATAATGTTGGGAATAATGTTAACACAGCATCTATGAGTAGGGGATTCTCTTGCATTTTAGTGAAATAGCTCAATATCATAAAGATGGGTATATTAAATATGCAGGTCTTTAAAATTACCACCATCCATGACAAGGATATATACTGTTACCCAGCAAAGGGAATTAATGAATACAAGAATAGCACCTTATTTCCATTAATTAAGTGGACCAGCTAAAATATTTAAATCTCTATGAGCAGCTTTAAAGAACTAGGACACTGCCAAGGGCCTGTTTTTATGTTTCATTTCTGATGATGTATTCTAAATAGAATAGGAAGGCTGAGGATTCGTTCAGGAAATGCAAATGATTCCTGCTTGTGATTCACACAATTTAACTTTGGGGGAAGAGGAAATTCAAGTCCTATAACACAACCTCTTGTCTACCAAAATGACCAATCTGTCACAAGGGACTGAACACAGGTTGGAGCTATAATGACAGGCTATCAGAGTGCCTCAAATGGATTATGATGTTATACTGTATATGTCATTCTTAATTTGTGAGTGTGTTTGTTTTATCTGAAAGATATTAGTCAACATCCTATAATGGGAGTTTTATCTGAAAGTGCTTTATGTCCAGATAATAACAATGGCCATTGGCCCTTACCAGTCATGGCCCTCTAATAATCACCATCTATGAATTGGCTTCATTACTCTGCTCTCCTCCTCACTAATAGCTGATGTGTGGTGAGCGTTCTGGCGCACTATGGCTGCCGCCACATCATCCAGGTGGGGCTGCACATTGGAGGTGGTGGAGGGGAGCCCCCATTACCTGTAAAGCGCTTTGAGTGGAGTGTCCAGAAAAGCGCTATATAAGTGTAAGCAATTATTATTATTATTATTATTATCATCATCATCATGTGAAATACATACTGTAGGCCATTTCTAATCTTTGAGTGAGCAAAATTATACTGATTAAGGCACTGAAGTAAAAGCCTGTGTAAGTTGTTGTGAAAACCCTCTTTATTCTCATTATGTCTACTTACATAGTTCATTTGGATGTTGACATTTAAGGCTAAGCATCTTTCAGTTTTTCCTTATATTGTGTAACTTTAATATTTATTTTGTTTGGTGCCAGAAGGAAAGTTCACTCCATTTATTTATGTAACATAACAATGCTGTAAGCCTGGTAATTTGCAATTTTGTCTACTAAAAAGAATATGGAATTACCTATTATAAAAATACTTGAGTTACTGCAATAAAAAAGTGAGCTATGGATTGATCAGAAAGTAAATGCCTTTAGTTTAGATCCATAAATGATTACATTTGGATTTATTTAGATCCAGGATTAAACCAAAAACATGCACAATGACTTAATTTTACAATTATAGTTGAATGTTTCAGCAGATTAAAATAATTGTAAAAGTATTTCTAGTTGTAGATCTAAAAAATGGTATGTAGGCATGTTTACACTTATATGCCTACTTTATTGCATAGTTCCCATTAGTATGTATGTAAAGTTATGAAAGTGATGTAGTTTCATGTTTTTTAATTGAATCTTGTGCCTACCCAGCTTGAAGTAAATTAAAGAGGATGCATCTTTAGGAGGACACCTGTAATGATGTCAGTGTTTCTGCCTGACAGGTTTTTCTCAGAATTTGGCACCATGACCAGCTGTTCATCCAGCCCTGCGGAGTTCTGCGGGAACAGTGTCTCCCTCTTGTCTCTGGATTCCAGTGTGTTTTTCAGCGAGCCGCCTCCTAATGAAAACCCTCTAGATTTCTTTATCATCAACGTTGGAGGCAGCAGGTATGTGCTATCTCAGGAGCTCCTCTCCTCCTACCCAGAAACACGATTGGGCAAGCTGGCCCTGTCGGCTCGAGACTCAGTGTTGGATCTCTGCGATGATGCCAACTTTGTGGAGAATGAGTTCTTCTTTGACAGAAACTCCCAGACCTTTAAGTACATCATGCACTACTACAAGACAGGACACTTACATGTCATGGAGGAGCTTTGTGCCGTGTCTTTTTTACAGGAGATTGAGTACTGGGGCATTGACGAGCTCAACATCGATTCATGTTGCAGGGACAAGTATTACAGGAGGAAGGAAATGAAAGAAACGCTGGATGTTCGCAAGGATCCCGAGGTAATTGACACCGAAGAAGAGGATTTCTCTGGAGTCATCTGTGAAAACCTTAGGCAAAAACTTTGGGATGTCATGGAAAAACCTGAATCATCTGTTGCAGCAAAAACCTTTGGAACACTGTCTGTGTTTTTTGTGTTTATTTCAATTGTCAACATGGCTCTGATTTCCTTGGATTTTAGCTCTCTGGAACCACCATTCCTGGATGTTCTTGAATACATCTGCATAGCCTGGTTCACAGGGGAGTTCGTGCTGAGGTTCATGTGTGTGAAGGACAAGTGCAAGTTCAGCAGAAGTGTGGTAAACATTATAGATCTCATAGCCATCTTGCCTTTTTACGTAACTCTGGTGGTGGAGAATCTTCATGGAGGGTCCACAGAACTGGAAAATGTTGGAAGGGTTGTGCAGGTTTTAAGACTGATGAGATCATTGAGGATGCTCAAACTGGGCCGACATTCAACAGGTACTATTTATTTGTGTCTTACATTATCTTACAGTATCTTACATTCATACACTAAGAGAGAGATTACTATCAGGATTTTGGTTGGGATTAGTCAGACAGTGCTAAGTGAAACATCATTGATTTGTATTGCAGGGACACATACAGTACTACAAAAGGAAGGACAGGACAGGAGAAAGGACCAATGACTGTCCAGGTGTGATGCTGGCAAGAGACACACCACTCCTCCAGTCATTGCCAACGCTCCTGTCCTGTATGTCCTTATTACATACCCCAGATTCGAATCAATCTCATAAGTAATTAATCTCAAGTGCACCCTGAATTGACCCTGCAAGTTCCACTCCAATACATTACATCTTTAGCATCAGTAAAGATCTTATGACCTTTCCCTTAAAAAATATAAAATGTGTTTAGTTTGAGCTCATCTCCATGTTCTGAAGTGGAATCTTAATGAAAATATGCAGGTAAGTATTTTCTCTGATGCACACATAACTGTACAAACTTTTAAATTTGAACAAATAAGATACAGTAACATTACTTTAGGCACATGAAAATAAAAATGACGTCTGTTGAAAAAGAGGTTGTTTTATACAAGGACAAATTAATAGGTTTGGAAGGTTTGTGTGAAGCCTCGAAAGGAAGAAGCACACTAGTTAAGAAGCTAAAAATAAGTTGCTTTGGGCATGTGGACAAAACCCATCATCTTAACACTAGCTGAAAGGTAGGTCTAACAGCATTCAGAGAAGGGTTTTCAGAGAAACAATGAGAGGATGAGGAAGAATTGACACAGTGGGGTTGGGAACAACAGAAATATGTAACTGGATAAACCAGATACCGTAAGAAATTACATAAACCATGCAAGAAATATTTCCTCTTGACCTATAACTTTTCACGTCCAGGTCCCCAGGGAGTAGACTGAATTGACGATGGTTTAGAGCAGTTGGAAATTACTCAGTGTCCTGCTTCTTGCACATTGCAGGGTAAGAGAAGGAATTCGCAGAGAGTTCAAAGATAGCCCTACTTTTGATGTACAAAATTAATTTACCCATTAGACCACCCCTTTGCCCCAGATGTGCCCTAATGACTAACCCTCTATTTGTATTTGAAGGGGACACTCTAAACACCCCCAACCTGATCTTAAGTTCTGCAAACTGTACAGCTCCCCAGAGATTGTGCTGTGACTAAACAGGTGACCTTCATGAGTCATCGGTGTGTCTGCATTGTTTTCTGGCTAGAAATTGTCAAGATGTTATTTCACAATCTATATTTGTATAACAAATATATCCCCTAACTCACAACAATATAAATCCTGTATATGGCTGAGTAATTATTGAAGCTTTCTTCCCAGTAGAGTACATTAGTCCTGAGGCATGGTGACATCCTTAGAGAAACTGTGAACATTCCCAAGGGAAATCTTCATGAATTTACATTTATTTCTTATTATAACCTTTATTTCCATGTAGCAGTCTGAAACAAAAACACTTTAAAATATAGGTTAGCACAACATGATGGGCTTTGCTCCTCTGATACTTTAAGTCAATACTTCAAAGCCTGTGTTGGCAGTTTCCAGTGATGTTTTTTTTTTCAGTAAAAACATCTTGGCCATGTTTCATGCTTTAAAGAATAACAATTACTATGATCGCTGGTCTTGCATAACTTGGTCAATTTATTGTGTTGAGGGGTATTTTCTTGTTTCTTAAACTTTGTAGTTTCATGTTCTCTGTACTGATTGCCAGTCAAAAACAATTGCTGCTGCTGGGAGACCATCAACATTGCACAGTGCACTAGGCGAGTTTGAGTTGCACTAATTAGGGAACCAAACAGATGACCTTACAGTTAACCACAGAAGATTTTTCAGAAGCTCCTTCCAAAAAATGTTTACCATTATTTAAGCAGAGAAAAGCAGTGATTCAGAATTATAAAAAAGGCGTGGGATGGGGTAAATTTAAAATAAATTTTAGATTATGTAAAATAATAAAGAAGGACAGAGTGGTTTAAGTCTGGTACCTTTTCCATGTCCTTGGTTGGATCTGAGATAATTAAGTAGGAGTAGAGTGGGGTAGGGGTAGTTTGTTTAGGAATACAAGTCTAAAAATTAACTTGGTCAGCTGATTATTTATTCAATAATACATTTGTGATGTCATAATGCAAACCTGCAAAGTTGTTAGAATTAATCACTAACATGTTTAAAGCTACATGTCTGTAGTGATCTTCAGTGTTTAAAGTTGTTTCTTCTTTTTGTCTGTGGCCAAAGAATCCTATCTTATACAATCACAGTTTCATACTTTAAAGGAAATAAAAAATAAGCATTATCTCAGTATGTTCAGCTACCCAGCTCAGTTTAATAATGTACTGCTATTCATTTCATATTCTCATTTCTTTCTATATTACTTTTCTGTTAGCATGAGAACTGATAAGATAAAATCAAGCAGTAAGGATTAAGCATGTCATAAAATCTGTTATGTAGAGTGTGCAGAAGGCTCTGCCTAATGGTTATTTACGTGTTTGAATTATATCAGCCATTTTTAATCTGCAGTATGGCATCTTTATAAATGTTGAATCTATGGCTGAGTTTTAGGTTCTACAATTGGTGTATCTCTTAAAATCTTTTAAAAAGTGTCCAAGCTTTTCAGGCTCAAGAACAATGAGTACTTTTTTATGTCTGGCAAATATAGCCTAGTGAATCTGACAGTTTAAACAGTGGTGAATCATACAGTTTAAAATGTTTATTTTAAAATGTTGCTCTTTTCATGAAACAAATAATGTGTCACAGTGTCTCTCTAAGCTTTTTTCTGTTGACAATTACAAAGTTGTAAAAGTCCTTACTGGTTATACAGATATTTTTAATCTTTCCTTACTTTAGCCCTTGAATTGCTTTTTTGCACCTTCATGAAAGGTTTCACACATAACCCAGATATTCTGAGATGTGAGCCTTTTCACCCTATATATATGCTGATATTTTTGGATGTTATTAACTTGACAAGATGCTGTAAGACAGATTGATTAATTCTTTCTAGCATAGGTTTAAATGTGAAGTGTGAAAATACTCCATGGAATTACATTGCTTTTGTTGTTTGTGTGTTTGAAGTTGTAAGCAACATAAATCCATCCTTTAGAACATATCAGTGGCACTTCAATATTTTAGTGAATGATCACATCCTACAAAATAAAAAAATATTTTCTAAAAACTTGTCATTTAGATACAAAAGCTTGTAATTCTTACATTTCATAAAAATGTGTTCCCATGAAAATCATTGATAAATGTTGCATGTAAAAATAGTGCTAAGTACCTGTAATTATTTATAGATGAAGAAAGCAATGAGAATTTTAAAATAATTTTTCCACATGTTGTAGAGATGGCTGTGGGAGACAAAAAGTCCCCTGTTTCTGATGCATTATTGATAAAACAAGAATTCACTTAATCATAGTACATCAGTAGTAGACCAGAGGTTTAATTTTCAAATAAAAAAAAGAGAAAATAGGATAAAATTACTATGTTATGAGTGTATAATTACAAACAAATCTCTTAACTATAGATTTTATTTTACTACAGAATCCAAAATAATATAAATTATTCAACTAATTTGTTCTCAAGCATTTTCTGAGAGTTGGCAACTCTCCTTATTCTGTGCAAGTAGTGCACGTCAGCCTTGAAAGGGATCAAAATGTGCCCCTTGAAAAACATAGTGAAACAGACATACAGTATATTCTTATTAAAGCAATTACAAATGGAGTTTGTTGGATGCTCCAGAAAATCTTTTATTTCTCTTATGAGCTGTTTTAAATAAAAATAAAATGAACTATATATAAATCACGATTTGCACTTTAAAATTAAAAGATGGCTAACTTTGTTTACTTATGCAATGTTTGTAACATATGTCTTTCAGGGCTTAAATCCCTCGGCATGACTATTGCCCAATGCTATGAAGAGGTGGGTCTTCTCCTCCTGTTTCTTTCTGTGGGGATTTCTATATTTTCTACCATAGAGTATGCAGTGGAGCACAACATCCCCGACACCACTTTCACCAGCGTGCCCTGTGCATGGTGGTGGGCCACCACTTCCATGACCACAGTGGGATATGGGGACATTAGGCCAGACACCACAGTTGGCAAAATTATTGCCTTCCTCTGCATCTTATCTGGCATTCTTATCCTTGCCCTGCCAATTGCAATTATAAATGACAGGTTCTCTGCCTGCTACTTCACACTGAAGATGAAGGAGGCTGCACTCCGTCATCGCGAGGCACTTAAGAAGCTGACCAAAAACTCTACCACTGATGTGGCTGTCAATATCAACCTGCGAGATGTTTACGCCCGCAGCATCATGGAAATGTTACGTCTGAGGGGAAGGGAGAGAGCGAGTACCAGAAGCAGTGGAGGAGACGACTTGTGGTGGTAGAATAGTCCTGCTGCAACTGTCACAAACCTGTAGGTAAACATACAAATATTTTTTCCCCAGAAGATGTTCATGTGTAATTATTTGGCATCAAGAGAGGGTTTGTCAGTATAACATCTTGAACAAAAAGACAATTGTATTAAAAAAGGACTTTTTAAGAAACTCAAAGCATTATGAGAAAGCACACATACTTAACAGAAGCAAAAGGAAAATGAACGAAAAAAAGAACATCAGATTGACTTTGTGAAACTATGTGTGATACTAAATGACAGATTGAAAATATCACCACTCATACGTTATACAGTAATATTGCCAGAGTATGAAAATGTTACATCAGTATTAATTCCCTTTTATTTGTTTCAGACTGCATAACATTGTGGACACATTAAGGGGATAGTGCCTTGCACATTTCCCATCTACTCTCCACACTTCAAGGACAGAGCTTTCTGAAATATTCTCAGCCACTTGGAGAAAGACCAGGAATTCACAAGGAGAAACTCAAAGTGAGGACTGAAAAATTGGATAAAAAAGACAACTGATGTTCATTTTCTCATTCCATAATAAAATTCCATAGTTCTTTTTAAATGCTTGAAACTTGAACTACTGTACTTCTGCAATATTTCAGAAGCAATATACAATACACTAACTTCCTGCTAACCTCTCTTGATCATTATAAGACTTTTTATAGCTAAACTGTGCTCCAAGCAGTCTTAGAGATACTCTCTCAACAGTTACACTAAGCAAGGATGCAAGCTTGCTTTAATGTTGTAAGACGTCAGTGCGTAGCTTTACCTTATACAGTATCTATACCTTTAAAGGACAGCACAGTAGACCCTCTGCTGAACAATTTTATGCTTGCTCAAATGAGAATCATGTTTCATAAATTTTTTTCCCCAAAGATGTGTGTTCATTCTGCATTCAGACAACAAATGTGCAGAAAATTATTATATTCAATTTTCAAGAAAGTCACTAATTTTCTTAGTGAAGAATATATTTTTTCGAGGGGACAATCTCTCTGAATAGCTGTTTGTTCCTTGTAATGGTTTGTCTAGGCTGGAGAGAGAAAAGACATAAGCTCGATACAGTAGCCCTTTCTGAATCTCAAGCACCAGTACCATAAATCTCACATGCACCATTAAAATGTACAAGGAGTGACCACACACTACATATACAATTTTTTAATTTGTTTCATGCTTGGTATTTTTATATACCTGTGATTAATTTCAAATACAGCACTAATGTGGAGAAGAGCAGCAAAAGAGGAAGAAGAGCTGTTAACATCAGCAAAGTGAATCAGTGTGATGCCTACCACCAGCATCTGTATACTTGTCATTATCTTCAGTTGTCAAGGTTTCAGTCAAACATGGGTGTTTAAGTATTCATACCTCTCTGGCAGCATTCTAGTCTCAAATTGATACTGTTATTCCTAATTTACTTGAATGACATGTTTTTTAAAAATTTGTAGCCATTTATATAGCTGGACATTTTACTCAAACAATCCATGTTGTTATTACAAGGGTACCAAAATGGCATCCCCACCTGTGATTTGAACCCACAGCCTGCTAGGTATAAATTAATACATAATGCAGAAAGAGATAGAGATACACATAGAGAAACCTATTGCAATGACACAATAGTCTGCATGCCTGAGGTGGGCATATCTTATTCCAACTTGGATAAAGCTAACACCCACACCTACAGTATAAACATATCCCAAAATAGTAACTTGGGTTAAGGCCGTTATGGACAAAATGATAATAAATAATACATTTTTCATACCAGTATGAGGAAATAATTGGCATGGAAAAACTATAATATTTTTATGTAACAAAAAGAGGAAAATCAGAGAATTCTTTTCATTTAAAAATTAGGATATAATAGCTAATTCCTAGACCTTAATAATTGCTATTTTGTGTGAATCAAAATACGACACCTGTCAAAGTTCAGTTAAATTTCAGTCTCCCTGAAACCATGGTTTTAGAAAGATATGAGAAATAGTTGTCTTAAGCTGTTAAAGAGAGCAGACATAAAGATTAAGGATTTATACATATTTAGGTTAATGTTCAAATTGCATCAAGCGTAAAATCATCCACATACATACAGTCTTACCTAAGCCATTTTGTTGTTTTCGGATTTAAAGTTATTTGTCTTTTGTTTCTGATCTCACTGTGATGAATGTGTTGACCTCAGTAGTGGATCTGATACTCCGACCTGCAGCACTTTTGGTTTACACTAAGCATGGGAAATCCACTCCCAGAAACACCTTTGACTTGGACCTTTTTATTTAACAGGTGCTAATACAAGAACGACAGTGATGTCTACAGAGATTCTCTACGGGTCAGTCGAGTACCTGTTGAGAGAGACATTTGCACATTTATAAATCACTCAGAACTCTAGAGAATGAAGTTGTAAATATCTGTGTAGGATCTGCAAACAAATGAGGAAGCAGATGCAAGTAAAATATTAAATGTTATAATACTGCAATGGACTGGTGTCCTGTCTAGGGTGTACCCTACTTTGCGCCCCTTGCTGCTGGGATAGGATCCAGATTCTCCCTTGACCTTGAATTGGTTGAAGCAGTTAGAAAATGGATGGATGGATACATATAATAACTATTTTTAAAGTATTTATGAGACTTTTAAGGAAGAAATTAATATCTTTTTGTTCACACATTTACAATTAATATTGAATAATGTGCTCTGCTTTTTCTCATTACATTAAAACTTTCTTTGCTAACTAACCCTTATTGGAGTCTGGAGAGATGACCAACAGGATGTGTGGTAGGGAAACAGTTTAGTGTTGCACATACTGAAGCCCATTAATAAAGCATTTCCACCTGAATACTGTAAAAAACAAATATGCTGCTGTATCCTCTCTGACTTCTAGTGAAAATGAAGGGAACGGTAACATTTTCATAAGCAGAGATACTAAGATAATTTGTATGTTAATTAAAAACCTAAGCAACAACAAAGGTCAAAAGACTTCAGTAGTCAATTGTTTATCTGACCCCAGTGGACCAAAGAGCAGGCAGATGTTTAAAATTGGCTGCTGTAATCAATGACAGGTGTAATGCAAATACTTAGGTCATACATATCACAATTGTTTTATATTGAGCTTTTGTTACAGCTTGTTAATACTTTTAGAGACCAGCAAAGCTCCAATAAAGTCAAATTACTCAACTATAGTGCATAATTTCAAAGATAGCACTGTATGCTAAATAAAGGAAATGACAACCAAAATAGTGTCCATTTACTCAAAGCCTTCATTACCTTCATAATTGTCCTTGAGTAAAGCTTGTATCCAATTTATATTTGCTGAAATCACTTTTAAAGTAGTTGTTAACCTGACCAGTTCAGACAACACCTCAACATGTTTGCATCTTCATGGATGCTTATCCTGAAGATGACAGATAATTCCTAGAACAGATTTAAGAGGCAAAATAAGATCCAGAATACTGTATATCCGAATAATATGAAAAGAATAAAATATGTTAAAAGAATGTGCTTTAACATACAGTACATTATACATATCTTATCACATTTCCAAGTTTTTAATGCTGTAATTCAGTAAAATAAATGTGTTTTCTGTATGGACTGATTTGTTTTCAGTGCTCTCAGTGACTCAGCATTCCCTCCATGACTTGGCAGTTTGTTCATACACCCACACGTTCTCTGTGTAACAAAATGCATTTCAATCTCCGCCATTAAATTCTCTGCTCTGGTATTTGTAGCATTGCTGAGGTGTAATACCTGTGATTGTCTTGCATCATATCCATGGGGTAGTCATGTGCTCTCTAGTCCAGTTAACTGTAAATAAACAGGACAGTCTCTGACATAATGAGCAGCTGTTTGCTCTGGTATGGACTTAGAATAACCTTTCCCTTTCACTTAGAGTAAATGTTCCAGTGGACTTAATAGTCTAGTTATTTTTGACCACCTCAATCAAGCATTCTCATTCAGAATAATATGTTTTTAGTAACTCTTGTGTGACATGGTACTTGGTTTCCTTTTGTGGAAATTTTGTTGTGTTGCATTTAATTTGAATTGGAAATTTCTGTAATGTGATGGCCATTGAGCACAATACTTTATACCAATCATATTAATGTATATTGTGCATACATTGATGTAATATATAATTAAGCTGTATTCAAGGACTCTTGCAACTTTTATCACCTCTCACCATCTATTACTGTTTAACAAAAAACACTTTGACCTTTTACATAAGTTTATGAAAAAAATCTTATAATGAGGTTGTACTTTACTTTTGTAATGGGGTCCTGTGATTATAACCTTACTTACCATACTGGACCATAGGAATACAATTATATAACAATATTTGTGGCTAAGATTTTTTACAGCAAATGCCATGATCATTTTGGATCACCTGCAAATTATGGAGATGATACTACCCACCTCCTGATACAAGAAATTGTATATGGCCAATAAAGTGATCTCTTATCTTTTCTATGTTGTCATAGAAATAATACTATTACTGATACTTATTGTTTCTACCCACATGGCTGTAGAACTTAATATTGCAACTGACTGATACTCTAAGATTTTAATATTGATTCAAGAATGTGAGTGTCCCTTGATCTTTTTTAGTTCTTTTTGGAACTTTTGCTGTTTTGTTACTGGAAAAACATTGTGGCTGACCAGTACTCATCTTTCATTGCAATGCTGTTTCTGCTCTACTTCTATTTCTAATCTCATCTTTAACTTTACAGGCATTTCTTCTTGTGGTCCTTCACATGAATTCTGCATTATACCGCTCCCAACTTTATATTGACCTGATGATACACTTAACACCAGATATGTATGTATGATCTGTCAGTAAAAAAGCTGAATTGAATCTGAAACTGCTGGAGGTATTGCCTAGGTTTGGAAGGCAGGGGTCTTTTAAACCTCAGGTCAACATCTAAAAGTCCTTCATGCACAAGATGCAATGTGACTATATTGTCTGGAAATGGTAACTTAAAATGTAAAAGGAAATCCAGATATAATTTACATTGGAGTGGAAAAAGGGCAAAGGTCTTTCATGTTCAATAGATGAAGGATAATTATTGTCAGTGATATTTATCACAGGATGGAAAAATTAATGGACTTTATTTTGCTTTTCTCACTTCACTGACCATGTAAATCCTATATCTGTTGAACCTTGATTTTGATTGTATAATATATTGAGCTTCAAAATAACTCAAACAATTTTGAATGTATGTTTTAGAATAACTTTGGCCTTTGTAGAAATGGTGTTTTTATTGATTTGTCATCCATGACTGATCATGATACACTGAAGTAACTTTGACTGTTTACGTGATTTATGCAATTTGATGTCTAGTCTAGTGAAAGTTAAGAAATTAAAACAGAAAAATACTAATTTGCCTTGCTTATCAAGGGGACAAAGCCTTGTTTGACACTAAACTAAGCCAGCACAGTTTTGCTGACCATATGAGTTGTTCACAGCCAGCAGTTTCTAACTTGTCAAAATACTGCAGTCAAACACATTCTGTCTGGGATACCACAGGAAGTCGTGACACCTTGCCAAGGTCAACCCATTATCATGTCCCATCCTTGTGACAGGGGTCCAGTGCTCACCAAAGATCGTTGATGCAAGAATGAGGTGGTGTGAACAACTCTTCAGCAGAAGAACTAAGTCCTCCTTAGCAACGAATCATTTTTGGAGAGCATCCTGAAGGATGTCAGAGAATGTGACACCTGCAGAAGGATACGCTAGTTCTTGTATACTGTATGAACAACAATTGATGGGGAACTCGAAGTGTGATTATTTGAGATCTAGTTGCTACGCATCAAACCTTATAGTGATTGATGGCAACCTGACTGCATGGAGCTATATTGATCATGTCCTGGGACATAATTTACTGTCCTTCCAGTGTACCCATCCTCATGTGAGAACATTCCAACAGGAATGTACATGTAGCTTTATTGGTACTAGTGGCCTTCTTGTGGGATGAGAATGTTACAGTTAAGCCACAGGTGTCCTTCATGCCCTATTATAGCCAAATTGGAATATCACATATACCACATATTAGATGGTGTATGAAATGAAGGGCTAAAAGTCCAGGCACATGCTTGTTCATGCTCTATGAGAGGAATGGGACAGAATGTCACACAAAATAGTATCAGCAACCTGGTGCAAAGCATTCAGCATAGGCATGTTTGTTTTTGTTGCCATTGTTACCACAGATGCTACTGGACAGTGGCTTTCACAGTAGACCACCTGTTGATCAACCTCACTGATGACAAACTGCAATCAACAAAATGAATTTACCAGTGTCACATCTGTTAATACCTGCTATAAACAGTTTTTCTAAAAACACTAAGAAGTAGAGAACTCCTCTTGGGTTTACAAAACAAAAAACATACTAAATACAAATCAGATGTTCCAAGTTTGATTATGTTTTTTATATTTAGATTTAACAAATGTAAGATGTAGTGGAAAGGTTTCTTTTTTAATTAATCTGCAATGCAATTAATGGTATGGTATGAGCATTTCTGTTGATATATTAGTATATTTTCATCACTTTTTCAATGTACTTTAAAATGACAGAGGTAGAATGTCTGATACACACATTTGAAGAAGTCTCTACTGGTACAGCTTTCCCAGTATAGAAATATAGCATGGCTCTTTACCCTTCAGACTTTGTGAAACATGCATTGACTCTCCTTTCAGGTAACCATTGCTATTCTAATAAACTTTTTATTTCTATAACTTTCTATAGAGTCTTCTAATTATTTATGGAATTCATTATCTTGTCACCATTTCAATGTATGCTGTTATATTGAAGATAGCTATTGAAACTCGGTAGTTTCTTTGATTTTAATAATAATTATGTAAATTATTTATTTAGTTCTGCACTCACCCAGGTGATACACAGTAGCCATTATGTACCAGGAAACTAGCATTAACGTCCTTTCTCTGGTCATGTGACCTTTAATGACCAAGTAGTCAAGACTTCCAGAAGATGGAATTTTATGCAGCACAGTGTACCCTTTGCTAAACAACACTAGATACATTTGAGAAAAATATCAAGTGATCTCAGATGTAGTTTGTCTTACAAGGGATGACCTAGATAAATACACATTTCATTTTCTTAATTTTCTCTTTTTGCATGTCTCATTTGAGATTTTTCTTCAAAAGACTACAGACTAAGTATAAGTAAGCTATTTTCACACTTTTGTTCCAAAAGAAAAGCAGTTCGCTGACAGGAGTGTTCTGAACACACATTCATTTTTTTAAAATCTCACAATAGCGACACAATCCACGATTAAAATGTTAAAGCGATGCCAATGTATTACAGAATCATGGGGTACTTTCCAAAAGAAATGATGTCACAAGCAAAGCTGAAACAGGATTTCATTTTTTTTTCTTTAACATGTACTGTACAACCCATGCTCAATTGGATTTAAATATTAAATTAATTTGGTAACTCTAAGATTTCCACTTTTTTCCCAAGGAAGAACTCCTCAGTTTCATTGGTTGTATATGTTGGGATATTGTCATTCTGTATAGTGAAGTGTTTTCTGGTCTTGAGATGTTTATGCTTGCAGTGAGAATTCCCACATTAATTGTGTTGTTTCACAGCAGCAGACTTTGATACCTTCACCCCTCTGATATTTTTCTATCATCAATTGCAGATGTTTTTCTTGGCTAGTTTGTAATTATACCTGTGTTTTTTTCTTTCACAGTAGATTTCAAATTGTTTTTAAATTGATTTCAAATGCCTTCTGTGCTTCTGTACATAATGTTTCCATTCCTTAAGATTTCTTAAACACTGTTCTTAAAAACTTCTTTAACACTGAAGTTAAAGTGAGACAAATTCATAGAATGTTCATTTATGAATATGTTATTTCAACAATTACCATATCTTTTGTAATTCATCGAAAACACTGGAACGGAATTGACAGAAGTTGTACTTACTAGTCGGTTATCTTACAGCAATGAGATCTTTGATTACTGCATCTAGTCAGGACCACTGATTAACATCTCATCTGAAGGATGACCTCCTACTAGTGTTTGTATTCCATGCCCTTCAGCCCAGAGTAAAGAGTCCCACTAACTGGTCTACCAACACCACTTTTAGCAGCAATCTAATTTCCCTTAGTGTACTGAGCCAAGCCACCTTTATTTTATTTCTGGAGCCTGATAAGGTCAGACTACAAGGTGATCATGCTTCTGTCAACAATTATTGTTATTAAACCATTATTAATCAGAAAATGAAGTAATCATGACATTCTTGCATTGCAGAAGTGCAAAGAAAAATTAAAAACTAAAATATGTTGTTGTGCACAAGAGGGAGCCTGAGTTCAAGTTCTAGGGATCAGGGAGTTTAAAAAGGCTTCCAAATACACCAGAAGGTCAGAGCTCTCTGGAGACAGCTGAAGGTGCAGTATGAAGTAGTTGTAGAAGAGGACTGGTAGTGAAGCTGGGCAGTACAGGGTT